AATCTAATGAAACAACATGTGGACGAGCACAAAAAGTTTATATTCGTAGATCAGGGAATTTTTATATATATTGGGCATCTCACAAAATTAATCATTTCTAAATCTTGTCAAGTTATTTACAGATTTGAATCATATGACAGCAACTTCTTGCTCACACACACATTATATTGTCTAAAAAAGAAATTTGAATTTTTTTTTTTTTGTTTTCATGTTTTTGTATAAAAGTTTGAAATTTTTATTTTGTGTAGCCTAGAAGCCACTAAGTCACTTGGTCGCTGAACTTTTTCCTCTATCGCATGACCTTTTTCTCATTTGCTGATTTTTGGGAATTAGGTTTAAAAGCTGCACAAGACAAATTGAAGTATTAGAAATTTTCTTATCAATAACAATTTTTTTTAATAGCTGCGTAACAATCATTAAAAATATAATTTTTTTATGGTCGAATAACAATTCTTTAATCAACAAAATTGTGTATATTGTATTATATGTTTTAACAGAGGATTTGCAGTGAGCCTTTTCATACATTAATGAGATTGTTTGTGAAGGCAAAAAAACAGTTTCATCATGTTAATTCAAATTTCAGTGAAGCACTAATTAGTAAAAACTCATTTATTTGTTATTATATGCAATTTATTATTCTTGCACGAAAACTTAATTTTTATTACTGATTTTTTTATTTGACAAATTGGCACTTTTTGTTTTTGTCCTTCTGTATGCTGCTATGAATCATTTATATCCACTTTTTTATTTTTTATTTTCATTAATGGAATATATACATCCATCAAGAAAGGCAAGGAACATTATTGAAGCTCTCCATCCTTCAGCTATCTAATTCTCAAATGGGACCTTTAATGTTATATTTATTAAATTCGTGAACATTAATAAAAAAACAAATAAACCAGTTTTTTGCTCAACAAATAATAATTTATATGGGCGAAGCTTTTAATTTTTGACATGAGTATTGTATTTTTTTTTTTTTGAGCAAATATATCTTTGTCATTCCAAGTAATGCAGATAGACCAATCTCAACCAAGTGTCTATGCCACCGAATTCTGCACTAAAATTCCAAATGTAAAAATGAGTGTTGAGAGAAATTTTTTCCTAGCCGGCTAACATCAATACTATGAAGTTCTCATGGAGTGATTTCTGGGGAAATCGGAAGACAAAGATTGGTCAAAGGCTTCCTGCTCATATTGATGTGGAACTTCTTGAATTTCAATGATTTATTATAAAAAATCAAAACTAATTTGAATATGAATTTTCAGAAATTGCTTACAGTTGTCACGTGTTGACTTGATGAAAAAGTCAAGTACCTATTGGTTCTCATGGAGCGGTTACTGGGAGAAATTGGAAGACAAAGATAGATCAAAAACTTCCTGCTCATATTAATGTAAATTTCAACAATTTATTATAAAAAAATAAAAACAATTTGAATATGAACTTTCAGAAATTGGAAATATAGATTTTATTTTAATATGGTCAACTGGAAATGAAAAAATCCTTTTACATGTGGCCTTACAATTCCTGAAGATGGTACAAAATTGCTACCAACTGTTGTTTTTAATGGCAAACAATTTACCTCCTCAAATTATCATGGTTGGACAAGATTGGAATAAAGCTTGGTTTGATAAGGTGTAGAATTACAAAAAAAGCACTTTTTATTATGTATAGCTTTAAAGTTCACAAGACAGATCCTATCAAAAAAATTGCACAAGATGAAAATGCTGATCTAGAAATCATTCAGGGGTTCTCACCTCTTTTACTTCAAAAAATTATTTAAGATAGATTTTGTGAAATGTGGAATACTTGGATGAGTTTGGGTAAATTCACCTGTACCAAAGTGGAAATTTGAGAAAGCCTGAAGATAGGCAATGTTATTTGTAAATGGATTCTTGAGGTTTGGAATGAAATTCCAAAAAAAATTATTATGAAATCATTTAAAGTGTTGCATTAGTAATGCAATTGACAGAAGATCATTTTTTGGGGAATGAGGAAAATGAAAATGAGGAAGATGAATGTTATTATAAAAAATCAAAATATATGTAGAGCTTATATTTGTTACTTGTAATGTTTATATTCAAGTGCTACAATATGGTTTATTTACTAATTTGTATACCTCAAGTTCTTCTAATAAACAAAATGGATTTATAAGGTTCAAATTATATTCATTATAATTAGAGCCTTTACTATAATAATAACGACAATAAGGTTCATTATTAATGCTGTGAAAAAGTTGCAAGTTGTTCATATCTATTGTTTTTTCCTTAAATTTTATTTTATACTCTGTAAAATCAAACGGAACATTACGATATATTGCACGTTGAGAATTCCTGATTCTACTTAAAATGGAATTACTTGATTGTTTTTTGTCAATCTTAAAAATAAAACTTTTGTCTGTTTCAATCCAATAATGTTCCATTTGAGATTTTCCCTTGACATTCCAAAAAACTGGATTATATCCACCAACCAATTCATCTGTTCCTTTAAGCTTCATAATGAATACAGTTTGTTTAATGCCAAAACATTTATTCTCAAAAGTTGATTGAGAGAATCCATCACGAGTACCACATAAAATTAATTCAAATTTATAAGGTATATCATTGTCCTCAATCCAGCTAGAAATTAAATTCTTCATCTGTGAATTTAATAATTTTCCTATTCCTGCTCTTGGACCTTTTTGAAGAATTAATGACCTTGGTTGCCATTTATCAAAAAAATAACATTGATGAAGTTCTTCGTATATTTTTGGATCAAAGATTTCTTTACAAGGTTTAATTTTATAAAAAAAATCTTCTCTAGATATTTCTTGGAATCTTATTAATGGAATAACATCTTTTAAAATAGCTTTCAACTTGATGAAATGGTCTTTATTCAATTTTGAAATATTAATATCATTTATTTCTTCTTTATCATCAACATCAATTTGTCCTATTCCCCATTGAATCATACATTCCCAAGCATTAATTTCATTAAGTACTAAAGTATCTCTCTCCAATATGGATATAAGAATGGGTTTTTCAATAGTTTTGAAATCATTTGATTTTAAAATTAATTCTGGATTGGTATCAATTAATTCCATAAAGTAATCTTGAAGTAAAGTAAATGATTGATATTTTGATGAAATTTTAAGAATATGTATTAAATTCTCTAGAATCCATTCCTTTTTTTCAATGATTAAATAATTTTGTAAATCATCAATTAATTCATTAAAATCTAATTCATCACACGCTTCAAGAAGTTCAAAAATTTTGTTTCCGCCCAGATTATCTATATTAAGAGTTCCATTGTAAATATAGCTATAAGTCATAAGTAATTTAAATTATTAAATCATTGATTAATATTAATTAATCAATTAATAAAAATTAAAATAGTCTTACGTCAAAAGGACCTTGAATACATTTGGAGAAATGTTTTTTTTTTCAAATAAGATAATGCCATCATCAGATTTTTTAATCCAATCTTTTGATAAAGCAGTTTTAAAATATGAGGATCTTGCTTTTAAAATACTACAATGAGCTTTAAAATTTTTAACGTCCTCATCCACTCCAACTCTAATTTCTACATCATAAAAGTCAGATTCATTTAATAACTTTGTTAAGTCATTTAAAAGTTTACTGATGTATTTCAATGGTAGGGTGTCATTAAATAATAAGTTTAAATTTCCTAAAGATGAAAAACAAGTTGACATTTTGTTGCAAATTTTATTTTTTGGTGATTATTAGACAATAAAAATGATAATAGTTCTATAAATAGCTCAAAGATGATCTCTTTAGTGAATCAATGGGAAAATAACTTGTAGATTTTAATGGTTATTAATTTAGCAGGAGTGTTGATGATAACATATACAGAATTTCATTAATTAGAGTATTAAAAATTAATATCTTTGCATATCATCAAGTCTGGAAAGATAGCATCCCCTTTTTACATGTGTAACATTTTTTTATATTGATGCTCAATTGTTTTAAAGTAGTGGTGCTATCTTTCCAGACTTTATGATCAATGTGAACATCGTGTCACATGGGGTTACAGGTTTCAAAATGTGATTAAAATCTTTGCTTTTTTCTCAAGTGGGTATATAGAACTCTGCATAGACGGAAGAACCGGGAAAACATGCATCTGAGTTCAACTGTTACTAGGGATTCTATTCGAATAAACAAATAATTCGATTAAGAAAATTAATTCAAATAAGCATTACGAATAGAAACCCTAGTTGACAGTTGACTGAAAATTATTTCTCTTCTGCTTTTTGGTTTTTTTTCTAGGATGCTGGTCTTCCTAGTTAAAAGGAAGGCAAATTATTATCAACAACATCTGAGATAGCATTCATAAATTGAAACAGACTACCCTTTGACATTTCAATGAAGAACAAATGAATATAAATTTAAGAGCACATATAAATTCATTATTTTTAATTAATTATATTTTTTTCATCAATTTGAAAACATTTTGTCAGGTATCATTAATCAATTACATCATCAATGATGCATTTAACATCAATAATAATCAATTAGTCATCATTTATCATTTTAATAAATAACTAATCTTTCAATAATATAATATCAATAATAAACACTTTTCATAAAAATAGTCTTTTTATTTTTATATTTATAAAAATGCCACGTCAAAAAAGAAGAGTAGAAACAGATTGGGAAGAAGTTACTGGGTAAGTATTTATTAAAAGAATGGTGGTGGTTATAGCCACTGGTTAATTGTTGAATAATTGTTAAAAAAAAAATTAAAAATGTCTATAAACAGTAGTAATACAGGAACAAATGAAGATCAAAGGGGAAACATTGCAAAGTAAGTGTTATTATTTTTTAAAAAGGATGGTGGTTATCACCACTTGCTGTCACTCTAGTTTTAATAATGATTTGCAACAATATACTAGCAAATCAGAATCAGCATTCAGTAAATCTTTTGGAAAAGTTGAAAACACACAAATTCTTATTTCAAGACAAACCAATGAAGGCTCATTCTATCTTTCAGATACTCTTTCTGAAATGCTTGATATTTTTTCTGATACAAAATCCAAATCAATTATTTCTACCATCCAAATATATGCTGTTGGTGAACATCTCAAGAAAACCATCACACACTATACCTGGTGGACAACTGCAATAACCATTTGTTATCTAAGATTACATGCTTCTTTTCATAAAACAATTTGGGAAGTTCATTATGGAAAAGCTAGAAAATACTTGGGAGAACAGATCAAGAATGAAGAATTAGAAGAAGAACTTTTGAAAGCATGTTGTAAACTTGTCAAAGATAAAAACAACCAAGATTTTAAGAATTAAAGAGATTAGCTCTATACATGCTCATGAGTATGTATATTGATTATTTTTTGAGAACATAATTTTATGGCTCCATTAAAGCTATGTATTATTTTATTTTATTTTATTATTTGATTAGTTTCACAATTAGAGCGTACATAGTGGGTAAATCAGAAATTGTCCATTGGAAAATGAAAATGGTGAAGGAACACTGTTTGGAGTTGTTTTAGTGGACAAATTGGTATGAATTATTATTACTATTTATTATTTCTTTTCAAAAAGACTTGATTACTAAAATGAAATATACATAATCAATGTAATTAGGGAGAAATTAGAGCCACTGCATTTGATGGTTACATAGACAAATTTTATGATAAATTGGAAAAATATAAAGTATGAATTTTAAAACTGAACCCATTCTACTTCATCTTCTGTCAATTATTAATTATTTAATTTCAAATAGGCATATTATATATCCAATTTAAATGTGATTTTAAGCAAAAAATCATATAATCTGGAGAATCACTATGAAATGTATTTTGATGATAATATTGAAATTAAACAGGTATGTAAACATAAAAATTTCAGGTTGTTGAATTTTCTCTTTATTAAAGTTTTTTTTAAAAAAACCCCATTTTTCCTATTTTTTTTTAGTGCAACAATAATGATTTTAATGAAGATGATTTGGTGAATTTATTATCTTTTAATTTCTTTCCATTGGACAAATTAACAGCTTTTGATATAGACAGTTATATTGGTAATTATAATTCCTAATTTTTAAAATGATATATATTTTGATTTTTTGATTTTTATTAATATTTTGTTTAATAGATGTTATTGGTGTTGTAAAGAAGATTGATAAATCTCACAGCATCACAACAAAAGCCACTAAAAAAAGAGTATTTATCTTTTTTATACATATTTCATTAAGAAATTTTTTATTAATCTATCAATTTTGTTCTTTAAACTATTTATAGGTCCAAATACAAAATATCAGCATAGCTGACAAAAATGGACATGAAAATAAAGTTACCTTGTGGGGAAATCATGCTGATACTCTGGGACTTGAGATTAATACAATAGTTGAAATGAAATTTGTCCATGTTACTGATTATAAAGGTTCAAAAATATTTATTAATACTTAATATATACATGGATTTATTTATTTATTTGCAAATGATTAAATTATATTTTTCCCCAGGCATAGATTTATCAACATCACCACACACACTAATATTTCTAAAAAAATCATTGCCAGGAGAAATATCAGATTGGTATTATATTTATTGGTTAATTTATCAATTAATTGATTGTAATGTCAGTAATTTTTAAATTAATTAAAATGTGCTCATCAGTGTTGGAAATTCGTCGATCTTATGATCTGCAAAAAAAAATTTGTGCACATATGAACACAAGAAATTTTTATT